AGAGAGCAGTATAAAGCTCCTTTGCCAGATCCTGCGCTTCTTGTTCTTCTGCGGAAAGGCTGGTCTTTGCCCCCCCCATCTCAGCAGTCGGCAGCAGAGAGAAGGACAGAACTCTTCTTACAGACCTGGCCCCCTTGTCTCCGCCTCCCCTGGTCTCAGCATTCAGCAGACTCCAGCAACTGACTCTAGCCCTCCTCTGGTCCTTCTCCAGACCCTGCACTATCTGCTTCCCATCAATCCCTTCTCCTTCTCAGCAGCAGCATAAGGTAAAGGGGTGCACTGTGATGTAAGGGAGGGTGGGGGACTCGTAACTTGTGATGGTGGGGGGGGCTCTTGACATCCGATGTTAGGGGGGGGTGTGCTCTGGACATCTGCTTATAATTATTATAAGAACAATACAATTCAATTCTATGGCCCTTTGAGAGCAACCATAATACTGATGCAGCCCACATAGAAATTGAGTTTGACACCCCTGGTCTATATGAATAATGGAGGGATGGGACAGCAGAGTGCTGGGGGATACAGGTCCAATAGGTAGGATCAGGGGCGGACTGACCATTTGGAAACTCGGGCACTGCCCAAGGGCCCGGGGTCAGTAGGGGGCCCCATGAGATGCCCCTGGTACCTTTTTCATAGGCTTTTTTGAGTTTGGGCAAGGACACAGGGGCCCCATGATTTCTATTGCCCCGTGAGTTGTCAGTCCGCCCCTGGGTAGGATTCTTCTTTTTAGTGACAGTCTCCTGGATTCATTGGATAGGAGGCGCCTGGCATTATAAGGGTAGGTAGGGCTGGGAGTAAAGAATTGTAGTCGAAGAGCAGCATGTGCACTGTGTAGTGGAAGTGTAGTACATACCTGCTTTCCCTATGTGGAGTGAAAGTGGAATTCAGTCTAGTGGAGAGCAATTGGGAAAGCGTAATGCCAAAAAAACATCGGCAACCAGATTTCAGTGCTGGCTTTTTGGTGGGATTATTTTAGAGCAAATCATTTTCAGAGTTTTAATAATGAAAGTATTGTATGATATATTATGTCATTATAGGAGTGTGTATGTATGTATGTATATACTGTATGTGGTTGTGTACAGTATATGCCAGTGTATGTATATTTTCTCATGACCTCTGCACTGTATATGTTACTTTTTTACTCTTCACCACTGCACTCAGGGCCATCTTTATTATTGATTAGACCCTAGGCAAACATTTTCTTGGGCCTCCCGCCCCACATGCAATTTTGCCCTCCACTTGCTCTGAGACATACAATAAATAGCAGCTCGACTCAAAATCAGTTTACTGCAGCAGATCACGCAGCGATTGTAATTGGTTGCCAGAGGTCACAGCATATCATTATCGCTTACTGATTAGTTGCTAGAGGTTTGGGGGAATGGGATCAGTGGTTGTGCTTAATGCAGATGGGATCAGTGGCAGTGCTGGGTGGGGATCAGCAACATTCACTTGCTGTTAGAGAGAAAGGGGGGTGAGGGAAAAAAGAAGGGGGTATGAGAGGGGGGGATTAGAGAAAGGTAGGGTGGGAGAGAGAGAAGGGGGTGAGAGAGAGAGGGGAAGAAGGGGGGTGAGAGAGAGAGGTGGGGGTAAGTGAGAGAGGGGGCTGAGACAGAAAAGGGGGTGAGAGAGGGGTGGGGAGAGAGAGAAGGGGTGAGAGAAGGGGTAAAGAGGGGACAGAGAGAGAGGGGGGTGAGAGAGGGGGAGTCAGGGGGGATGGGGGGAGAGGGGGGAGAGGGGTTGGGGAGAGAGAGGGGGTGAAAGAAAGAAGGGGTTGAGAGAGAGAGGGGAGACAGAAGGGGGTTTAAGAGAGATGGGATGAGAGAGGGGGGGGTGAGAGAGAGAGAGGGGGGGAGAGAGAGAGGGGGGATGAGAGACAGAAGGGGTGAGAGAGAAGGTTGGGGAGAGAGAGTGGGGGTGAAAGAGAGAGGGGGAAGAAAGAAAGGGATAAGGGAGATAAGAGGGTGAGAGACAGAGGGATGATAGAGAGAAGGGGTGGGAGAGAGAAGGGGGAGAAAGGGGGGTGAGAGAGAGAGGGCGATGAGAGAGAGAAGGGGTGAGAGAGAGGGGGGAGACAAAGAGAGGGGGGGGGGGGGGGAGAGAGGGGGGATGAGAGAGAGAGAGAGAGAGAGAGAGAGAGAGAGAGAGATGGGGATGTGAGAGATAGAGGAAGTGAGAGAGGGAGGGGGGTGAGAGAGAGGGGGTGAGAGAGGGAAGTAGGAGGGGTTGAAAGGGGGGTGTGTGAGGGGAGGAGGGAGAGAGAGAGGGGGGGGGGTGAGAGAGGGGGTGATAGAGAGAGAGAGAGAGGGGGGGGGTTGATAGAGGGGGTGAGAGAGAGAGGGGCAGTGAGAGAAGGGGGTGATAGAAGTGTGAGAAAAGAGAGAGAGGGGGGGGGGGTGGGGGTGAGAGAGGGGGCGGATGTGAGAGAGAGAGAGAGGGGTGGGGGGGAGAGAGGGGGAGGATGTGAGAGAGAGAGAGAGGGGTGGGGGTGAGAGAGGGGGAGGATGTGTGAGAGAGAGAGAGAGAGAACCCCTAGCCTTGTGCCTCCCTGTCCCAGTCCTTGTCTGTGGGTAGGGTGTGTGATGCCTGCCATCAGCAACCAGGGTCTGCTCTCATTCTGGCTGATTTGCTCCTTTCTCTGCTCTGTTGTCCCTGGTTGTCTGCGCTCTTGCCCATCCTTGTCCTCCAGGCCCTGGTCAGCCTTTCCTCCAAGCAGCCATTGCTGTTGTTGTCAGAGCCACGAGCTGGGAGATGCCGCCGTTGGGGATGCTGCACTCGCTGCTGCTCTCCTTTCTGGGGGTCAGGGAGGTGGTGGAGATCTTCTCCTTCCTGGGCTCTTAATTCTAGCCATCTCCAATGCTGTCCTCCCCTGCTCCCACCGCCACCTGACCCCTGCATTCTGTACATCACAGGCAATGGAGTGCAGTTTGGCATCTTTGGCCTGGGCCCTTGATGACCTTTTCCTGGCATTAATCAGAGGTCAGGGCTCTTGAGAAGAGTATTGAGCTAGGGTGCTATGATGTTTCCAGGAAGCTAATTACAACACCCTGTCGGCCCCTCACACCAGACATGATCTGTCTGCATTAGTTCTCATCAGGGGCAGACTGACCATTCCGGCACTTGGGCACTACCCGAGGGCCCGGGGTCAGTAGGGGGCCCCATGAGATGCCCCTGATACCTTTCATAGGATTTTTTGGGTGTGATTGGAGTGTGAGCAAGGAAACAGGGGCCCCATGATCCCTTATTGCCCAGGGACCCTAGGAGCAGGGGCGGACTGACAACTCATGGGGCCCCCGTGCAATAGGGGACTATGGGGCCCCTGTGTCCTTGCCAAAACTCAAAAAAGCTTATGAAAAAGGTACCAGGGGCATCTCATGGGGCCCCCTACTGACCCCGGGCCCTCGGGCAGTGCCCGAGTTTGCCAATGGTCAGTCCGCCCCTGCCTAGGAGTTGCCAGTCCGCCCCTGTTCCTCATGTACACTGGGAATTTTTACAGCGGCTGTTTTTGGCTTCTGCTGTTTTTTCCTACAGCCAGTAAACTCTCCAGCATGTTCTCCTATGTGTCCATACACACATTAATCAGAGTTTTTCTGGAAGGGGGCATTTTATGCCTGGAGAAAAAAAAACAGAACTATTGGATTTCAAGAGGAGTTTTTTAGCTGTAAAAATGCTGTTAAAAAACAGTGTTTTTAAGCAAAATTTTTTTTTTGTGCTAAAAGACGCTAATGCAAAAAAAAACAAGGCTAAATACAGAAAAACGAGGCCAAATGCTAAAGCAAAAACGTGGAAGAACTTGTGTTTTTAACCTCTTGCCGTCCGCCTGCTGTTTATAAAATGGCAGGGCGGTGGCAGTCCAGGGTCGGGTTGCCGTTCATAAACGGCACCCGCCTTTTCTAGCTGTGCGCGCTCCCTGGGAGCGCGCACCACCGCGATCCGGTGCCCGCTGTGTCCTCCGGACACAGTGAAACACCGATCGTCGGACGGGACCTCTGTACGAGGTCCCGATCAGTGATCACATGCAAAGTAGTAAGCAAGATGTCACTTGTGACATCATTGCTTACTATGTGTGAAATCTGTGAATGATCACAGAGGTCACATGGTACAAGGCTATTCACAACAGCCTTGTACCACGTGACAAGCTGTGACCACTCACAGCTCACTCAGTAATTCTCAATGACTGCAAGAATGCAGACAGAGAGAAAGAGAAATGATTGCTTTTACATCCTATATGGGTGTAAAAGCAATCAGTGTAAAAAAAAAAAAAAAATCTTCATCACCCTCCACAAGTAGTACAGTGTCACCATGGTGACAGTGTACTGCTAGGGTGACAGTATGTAAAAAAAAAATAATAATAAATAATAATAATTTAAAAAAAAATAAAATGTAAAAAAAAAGTTTAAAAATTATAATTTTTAGTTATAAACTAATTTGGATTTTTTTTTTTTCTACTAAAAAAATAACGGAATAAATTTTGGCTAAGATTTATGATGAAATATTATTTATGTGCAAAATTTTATTTAAAAAAACACTTTTTTTCAAACTTTTTGAACTTTTTCATTTACATAGTAAAAAAAAAATCCCAGCGGTGAATAAATACCACCAAAATAAAGCTTTATCTGTCTCAAAAAAATGGTAAAAAAAATTCATATGGGTACAGTATTGCATGACCGCGCAATTGTCATTCAAAGTGTGATAGCGCTGAAAGCTAAAAATTGCCCTGGTCAGGAAGGGGTAAAAGTGTCCGGACTGGAAGTGGTTAATGCAACTTTATACAGGCACTGCTACCGGTGTTTTTGAAACGGCCACTGTGCATGAGGCCTGATATAAAGACGCACGGAGTCCCAGTGTTGACACCATTGAATCTAAAATAAGATATATAATGGAATTAGAGTAGTTTTATTTTAAAAATGTCATTAGGATGGATTGGGGGGGGGTGGGGTGGGGGGGGGAATTATATAAGTAGATTAAATTTAAATCTTTATATGCAGACTTGAAAAAAAGTCCATCAACATTAAGGGCCAGTTCATACTACATGCGTTTCAGTTGCTTTTTTTTCTGCATCCAAAATGCACAGAAAGTAGGTTCTATGGTTGTCAATGTCAGAGTTCCCATCAGTACTTGCAGGTCCAGTGCGTTCCGGTTGCAGAAAAAAACGTAGAACAGACTGCATTTTTCCTGCACAGAACTGTACTGGAACGCAGTAAAACACATCAAAAATGCACTGGAGCGCACATGTCCCTATTTAAATTGAAGAAAAAGAGAGGGGGGAAAAATTAACAAGAAAGAATCAAAAACGCACCAAAAAATGCACTGGAACGCACATGTCCCTATTTAAATTGAAGAAAAAGAGAGGCGGGGGGGGGGGGGAATGAATCAGAAAGAGTAAAAAATGCACAGAAGCGCACCAAAAAATGCACTGGAAAGCAAACGTCCCTATTTAAGTTGAAGAAAAAGAGAGGGGGGAAAAAAACGCACCGGAACGCACCAAAAAATGCACTGAAGCACACATGTCCCTATTTAAATTAAAGAAAATGAGAGGGGGAAAAATAAACCAGAAAGCATCAAAAATGCACAGGAACGCGTCAAAAAACACATCAAAAAAAACGCACAGGAAACACGTTAAAAACGCATAAAAGACGCACCGCAACTCATCATTAAAAACACGTCAAAAACACACATGCGAAAATGCATCCGGAATGCATCCAGACTGCGTTTCTATAGTGTGAACTGGCCCTAAAGTATTTTGACAAATCCCCTCATCTCCGTTACTGGGCAGTAAAATTCACTTCTCTTGAGTGGAAGACAACAGGGAGCCTGCTTCTGAGCATGCTGGCACTGCTGAGTAGGCAGCAGTGGAAATCCTGTACGTTTGGCACCTTTTTGTTAGAAAGCTGCACAGAAGCTGCATGGAATACCTGCTTGTACCATGCCAGTGATTGCAAACCAGGGGTGGACTGACCATTTGGAAACTCGGGCACTGCCCGAGGGCCCGGGGTCAGTAGGGGGTCCCAAGAGATGCCCCTGGTACCTTTTTCATAGGCTTTTTTGAGTTTGGGCAAGGACACAGGGGTCCCATGATCCCCTATTGCCCGGGGGCCCCATGAGTTGTCAGTTCGCCCCTGCTGCAAAGAATTGCAAACCTGGCTGTGCAGTCACTGGCATGGTACAAGCAAGGGCGGACTGACCATTTGGAAACTCGGGCACTGCCTGAGGGCCCGGGGGTCAGTAGGGGGCCCCATGAGATGCCCCTGGTACCTTTTAATAGGCTTGGGCAAGGACACAGGGGCCCCATGATCCCCTATTGCGTGTGGCCCCATGAGTTGTCAGTCCGTCCCTGGGTACAAGCATGCAGCATATTACATTTAGAGAAGATTGAGAATCCGTATCTCTTCTCCTCTTCTGGGTCGATGACTTATCGAAGCCAAAGCATCATCCTGACAGGTAGCCAGCTGGCATTCCCCGGAGAGGTCAGCAATGGCAGCCGACATCTTTCTTTGATGACAGATCCCTTTTATATCACTTTGAATCCTTTCGTATTTCTGAAGTTTTCTTTATTTAAAAAAAAGCTGTCATCAGCCAAAGAAGCTGGACGTTCTGCAGGCGGCTTATCGCCATGTTTCTGCTGAGTCTGGATTAATGTTACAATGTCATACAGAATTCCCCCCCTGGACACAGTCGTGTTGAATAATTCGGGACACAGAGAAGTGTCCAGAGGTTTATATTCCATGCAGCCTTCTAACAAAAAGGTACCAAATGTACAGGATTTCCACTGCTGCCTACTCAGCTTTGCCAGCATAAATATAATTCATCACCTCATTTTGGTGGGGCCTTTTAACCCAGTGGGTACTTTTGGACTGTTACACCGACCTTAACACCTGGTCACACCAAACCCGACTTTGAAATCGTTAGACTTACAGTGAAGTCGCATGATTTCAAATCGGATGACATGACGATTTCAGGTGCGAGTTGCAAGACATCTGACACAGATATCTACCAAAAGTAGTGCGGGCAGCACAGTGGCTAAATGGTTTGCACTTCCACCTGGTAGCACTAGGGTCGCTGGTTCAAATCCCAGCCACGGCACCTCCTGCCTGGAGTTTGCATGTTCTCCCTGTGCCTGCGTGGGTTTCCTCCAGGTTTTCCGGTTTCCTCCCACACCCCAAAGACATGCTGGTAGGTTAATTGTCTCCTGTCTGAATTGTCCCTAGTATGTGTATGTATGAATGTGAGTTAGGGACCTTAGATTGTACACCCCTTGAGGGTTAGGGACTGATGTGAATGTACAATATATATGTAAAGCGCTGTGGAAATTGATGGCGCTATATAAGTACCTGAAATAAATGTTCTACATTAGAAATCAGTGCGGCTCTGACCAAGTCAGAACTGCACCCATATGACCGCCGTACAATAGGGTGCGACTTGCCATGCGATCTGCAAGTTGCACCGCATGTAAATCTCATGCCAGTTCACATCCAGTGTGCCAGGGGACTAAGTCACTGTCCGCTGCGGTTTAAAATCGTGAATTTCATGTGCAAATTCAGCATGATTTCTGAAGACTTTATTGCTACTATCGCTGCTAAGATTTTCAATGATTTCTTGCAATTTGCAGTGCGATTTCCATTCTATTCTATGTATGTGAAATCGCAGCAAAACTGCAGAAAAAGTCATGCGGGACCTACTTTAGAAATCGCACTGCAGCAAATTCTCACATTAAGACGCTGACGTTCACATTCATTGGATGCATTTTCAGGTGCAATTTCAATTCGCAAATCACACCGGCCAGTGTGACCGGCCACTAGAGCTGAGGTTTACTCTGCCTATATTTTGCCATCCCTGGTTTTCACCCCTCACCATCATGGTAATTAATTTTTTCCCCCTTTTCATTACATCTTTATTTTAGACCAGGGGCGGACTGACCATTTGGAAACTCAGGCACTGCCCGAGGGCCCAGGGTCAGTAGGGGGCCCCATGAGATGCCCCTGGTACCTTTTTCATAGGCTTTTTTAAGTTTGGGCAAGGACACAGGGGCCCCATGATCCCCTATTGCCTGGGGGCCCCATGAGCAGGGGCGGACTGACCATTTGGAAACTCGGGCACTGCCCAAGGGCCCGGGGTCGGTAGGGGAGCCCCATGAGATGCCCCTGGTACCTTTTTCATAGGCTTTTTTAAGTTTGGGCAAGGACACAGGGGCCCCATGATCCCCTATTGCCTGGGGGCCCCATGAGCAGGGGCAGACTGACCATTTGGAAACTCGGGCACTGCCCAAGGGCCCGGGGTCGGTAGGGGGGCCCCATGAGATGCCCCTGGTACCTTTTTCATAGGCTTTTTTAAGTTTGGGCAAGGACACAGGGGCCCCATGATCCCCTATTGCCTGGGGGCCCCATGAGCAGGGGCGGACTGACCATTTGGAAACTCTGGCCCTGCCCGAGGGCCCAGGGTCAGTAGGGGGCCCCATGAGATGCCCCTGGTACCTTTTTCATAGGCTTTTTTGAGTTTGGGCAAGGTCACAGGGGCCCCATGATCCCCTATTGCCCGGGGGCCCCATGAGTTGTCAGTCCGCCCCTGCCCATGAGTGATCAGTTCGCCCCTGTTTTAGACCCAGTGATGCTATCAATGGGTCCTTGTGCTTCTCTATGCAATGCAAGCAGATGGGGGGGGGGGGCTGGAATCACTCTGCCCCAGGACTCCTCTCAAAAAACAAAGCCCTCCGTCTTGATGCAGGCAGTGGGCTGGCTTTTGGAACGAGTAATGCAAAAATCAAAATGCATTGATGATTGGATGTTGGTCTGGTAGACTGGGCATTCCATCAGCAGGCTGCAACTTGCTTGCAGATTCATCCTGGCCACATATGCTGAGCCTCCATGACTATAAAAACTGGAATCCAATGAATAAAGGGGCCAGTCAGGCTGGGGAGGAAAGGGTTAGATGAGGCTGGTTGGCCTCCAGCAAGAAAATGAGGCAGGTTCTCTCTGACTTGCTGCAGCTTCTAATGCACACTGTGACACACTCACAGTGTGCAGTGAAATCAGAGTAAGAATTTTCAGTACAAGAGCCTGTATAACTGTGCAAGATTGAAAGGAAGACAGAGTTCAGCTTTAACCAGGGGCGGACTGACAACTCATGGGGCCCCCAGGCAATAGGGGATCATGGGGCCCCTGTGTCCTTGCCCACACTCAAAGCACACCCAAAAAAGCCTATAAAAAGGTACCTGGGGCATTTCATGGGGCCCCCTACTGACCCTGGCCCTCGGGCAGTGCTTGAGTGCTTGAATGGTCAGTCCGCCCCTGGCTTTAACATGGTTGTAAAGACCAGGGGTGGACTGACCATTTGGAAACTCGGGCACTGCCCGATGGCCCGGGGTCAGTAAGGGGCCCCATGAGATGCCTCTGGTACCTTTTTCATAGGCTTTTTTGAGTTTGGGCAAGGACACAGGGGCCCCATGATCCCCTATCGCCCGGGGTTCCCATGAGTTGTCATGAGATTTTTTTATCTTCATGAATTCCCAGCCCCCTAACACTCACCTGAGCCCCCTCTTGATCCAGCAATGTGCACAGGAGCCTCAGCTGTCCTGGGTCTCTCTCTCCTCATCAGCTGAGACACTGCAGCAGGAGCCATTGGCTTCCACTGCTGTCAATCACAGCCAGTGAACCAATGAGGAGAGAGCGGGGGTGGGGAGGAGTAGACCTGTGCAAAACAAAAAAATTAGTTTAGTTTCGAAATTTCGCGTACTGGGATTCGGTAAATTCAATTTGTTTCGGTAATTCGTATTCGAATTCAAATCGAAAACATTTTGACCAAATTCGAAAAAGTCATTCGTATTCAAAATTGGTTCAACCGATTTCAAAAATTTATTCAACGAAATTTGAAAAGTCATTCATAATCTAAAAGATTTCGACTGAATTAGAAAAAAAAATCAAAAAATCACGGGGAGTGGGGGACCAGTCCGTAAAGCAAAACTTCCCTTTTGGGTGGGTGTCCGCTTTAAATTTGTTTTCGAATGTTTGTTCGATTTTGTTTTTGCATTTGTTTTCGATTTTGTTTTCAAATTCAAATTTGTTTTTGATTTTTTTTTTTTCAAATTTGTTTTCGAATTGAATTTCGGCCAGATTTAATTTCGTTATTTCGGATTCGTTTAAATTCCTTATTTATTATTATTAGTTATTCGGATACATCCGAATCTCTGAATAATGAAAAAAATAGTCCGAAATGTGAATCAAAACGAACCGCATATATCTAGGCAGGGGTGTATTTACCACAAGGCAAACAAGGCATTTGCCTAGGGCGGCATTTTTCAGGGGGGCAGCGCTGTCCCCTGAATGAAGGGATGGAAGAAGGGACATACACAGCACGGGGACCTGGTGGGATCTGAGAGAGGCTGCAGGCTGC